TGATGATGAGGATGATTATTGTTTTGCTTGACTGACAGTTTTCAATGGGATTTCTAGACCAAAATTATTTCATATAAAAACGTCAAGTGGTTGTTGAGTTAATCAGTGTTTTCCAGTGTCGTCTTCGGTGAACAACAATTTGGAGAGAGAATAACAAAAATAGTCAGTTTGATTCGGGACAAGTAAACGGATTACGAAATTACCAAAAAATGAAAACTGGTTAGTATTGTCTGCTTTCTTTTCTGCTGGTGTTTCACCATTTCAATATTTGGGTTTTGCTTTTCTTTCAGCATTTGTGCTATTTGGTGTATTGGCCATGAGCCTGAGTGCCTTCGCGGCTACAGATGACTGCACGGTCCCCACTTATAACACCACCCTGGAATTGGCATGTCAAGGCTCTGAATTGGAATATCTGTGGCCAAACTACGAGAATGTTCAACAATATTATCGTTGCCAAGGTGCTGGAAATCCTGTTGTGCTCAACTGCCCAGGAAACACCTATTTCAGTTTTGTTCTACAATATTGCGTGAGCTGTGGCCAATATATTCCATCTCAATACTGTGAAACTTTGAAAATTGACAAGAAGTCAAGCTGTGTGCCTATTGCGGGAGAAACTCCAAAACCAACTACCAGCAGTACCACCAGTACCACCACTACTACTACCACCACCACAACTAAAAAACCTGCCCAAACTACACCACCCGTCGAAGAAAATACTACACCAACAAAATCAACAAGCACCAGCACAACCACAACCACAACCACCACCACCACCACCACTAAAAAGCCCGTAACTGTCCCTCCAACAACATTGATTCCTCCACCACCAGTTCCATCTACCGCAGATCCTAATGTACCCCTCCCACCTGTCGCTCCCCCCACCCCACCAACAATTGAAAATATCCCACCAATTGAGTCCCAACCAAATACACAATAATTGTATCTAATGTTGTCAAGTACATAGATTTCAATAAAAAATTCTATTTTGCAATTCTGCTGAGAATTAAAGATTAAATGAAGAAAAAATCACACTTATTTCACCGATAGTTCCGCAAAAAAATAATTTAGACAAGAAGAACCAGTAAGGAAAGTAGTAAAGTCGGACGGGGACGACTATATGATACCCTTCACCACTGTGGGTATATTCAACAGATGAATCCTAACAGACGTCGCATTATTGAAGGACCATTAACATGAAATTAAACATGTCATTCTGCAACATATACTAAATTTTGGTCAGATATACAAATGGGACAAAATAATGTAAATAGATTTAAAGCGAAATATCGAAAACTAAACCGATTTCATCGAAACTTGTCACATGTTAGGTTACTCTTATTTCAGTATGTTTTTTGCATTCGGCCATATTTTGAGTTCTTTATTTACTTATAAATCCAAAATCGGACGAAAATATATATGGGAGCTATATCTAAATCTGAACCGATTTTCGCGAAATTTAACACACATCGTTCCAGACATAATTCAGTACGCTATCCCAAATTTCGTGCAAATCGAAGGATATATAGGGACTTTGGTGCACTATTTACCTAAAATCGGACGAAAATACATATGGGAGCTATATCTAAATCTGAACCGATTTTCGCCAAACTTAACACACATCATTCTGGGCCTAATTTATTACAATTTGCCAAATTTCGTACAAATCGAAATATATATAGGGATTTTGTTACACCATTTACCTTAAATCGGACGAAAATATATATGGGAGCTATATCCAAATCTGAACCGATTTTCAGGAAACTTGACACACATCATTCTAGACCTAATTCATTACACTGTACCAAATTTCGTACAAATCGAGAGATATATAGGGACCGTTTACATTAAATCGGGCGAAAATATATATGGGAGCTATATCTAAATCTGAACCGATTTTTCCCAATTTCAATAGGGTTCGTCCTTGGGCCAAATAAGTGACCTATGCCAAATTTCATTTAAATCGGATCATAAATACGACCTGTACTTTGTTCACAAAAATACATGGACGGACAGACGGACATGCGTAAATCGATTCAGAAAGTGATTCTATGCATATTCTCTAAAGGAACCATGTGTCTATCTCGTTTCCTTTTGCCTGTTACAAACATATGCACAAAGACATAATACTCTGTGCCACAGTGTGGTGAAGGGTATAAAAAATGTAAACATTTTATTAATATCACAACTATATTTCTACATCGGTCTACTTTTCCACTATTTGGGCTCATGTTTCCTCATTGTCTCTCTTTTTCTTTTGAGAAAAACAACTGTAATGTCCTCCCAAGAAAAAAAATAAACACCACAATCACAATTCATTGTTCGGTTTCTGTTGCTAACAATCACTCAATCGATTGACACTCAGACACTCTCGCCGACCTCAGCATTGGTGTTACAAACTTCGCATATATATTTTCCAAATTATTTCGATATAAATGTTAAATACAATATATCAAATAAGTGCCGATACGAACAATAAACCCAATAGAATGTTCAATATGGTATGATATTGTTCTAATGACACAGAATATGAATATGTAAGTAAATAAGAAGAAACGAGACAAGACTTATCAAAGAAGAAGAAAACAGAAAACCTTTATTTACAGTTTCATAAAAATGCGAAATTCCGACATTTTCAACACTTTCTGAGCACAATTCATGTAGTATACGAATTATTTTTTTGTGTGGTTGAGGGTTAAACAACCTATGCCACAAAAACGCATTTAAAAATCCTAAAAGCTTCCCAGAAATTACGTTCCAAATCAATGTGTTTGGCTCAGAAAGTAGTTCAAAATTCACAGGTTCATAATTCTTCAAAACTGAACCTTAAAGAACATCATTAATGAATCTCAATGTAATTACAAAACGTTTGTCGTTATTGGTCTAGGTATATTTTTATTTATTCACTTTCACTTACCCAATTATCCTCAGCGTCCCGCTTGTCCAACAAATATTGATGTAGTTTTGGTCCCAGACCATTTGGTGCAGTAAATTGTTTAACAATCGCCTTTGTACGTTCAAGCTGGGCAGGTGTTGTTATGGGTTCCAATGCCCTTATATATTCGGTCATTGTTTGTTCCAACGGTGGTACAGGTACTTTTGGGAGTGTCTGTAGAGAAATATATGAAGAGAAAAAATATATATTATCTCCATTATTATCAGGCGTTATTTGGAAGATTGAAGATCTATTAGATCTAGTTTCGTTCGTTCATTTCTATAGAGAACATATATGAATACAATTATGTTAGAGGGTAGATTAAGCACATATTTCTTTGTATTAATGAAGGAACTGCTGAACTAGGGTACTGGATCGAGTTCTAATAGTTCATTAGCTTCTTTTGTTCAACTAAAGAATTGTGAAGTAGACTACTATTTCTGATCGTTACTCTCTCGAAAATGTTCTCAGGAACTAGTTCGGTTTAGAAGAAAGTTTAAACAATTGTTACTTTGAACTAAAGAGAGAACTGGTGAACAAGAATACAGGGTATAGTTCCAGTAGTTCTTTCCTGGGAATAGTTTTTTTGGTTCAACAAAAATGTTTATTAAACTAGAGTATACTACGAACTAGTTCTGATTGTCTCGAAAAGTTACCACGAATTTGTTCGGATAAGTAGCGCAGCAGAAGCAACACTTGGGTACCAAAGACCACCATCAAGAAATCCGTGGTACGATGAGGAGTGTCGTAATACTACTGATATGAAAAACGCAGCGTAGAGGGCAACCCTGCGGACAGTAGCACCATATATGCGATGGAGAACTATCGGTAGAAAAGGAGAGAGGAGAAACGTAATTTCAAAAAAAAAAAAAAAAAGAGCAAGAAAAACGTGAGCGTGACAAATCGAAATTTACTGGAGTCCGAATGAAGTTCGAAAATTTTACCAACGGGCAAAACACCAAACAGAAGGCTTTGGAAGGAGCCTTTTGAAAAACTTCAGGTATCAAATAGCAGCAGTGAAGTGGATACCCTAGAACCAATAATAATAGATGACTGTATAGAGTGTATACCACCTAGCCAAGATGAAGTCAGAATAGCAATCAATCGGCTGTAGAATCATAAAGCAGCAGGCGCCGATGGTTTACAAGCCGAACTATTCAAGACTGGTGGTTAGATGCTGGTAAGGAGCATGCACCAGCTGATTAGTACAATTTGGCTAGAGGAATGAATGCCCAATGATTGGAACCTCAGCATCCCATGTCCCGTGCACAATAAAGGAGACAAGACGATATGTGCCAACTATAGAGGTATTAGCCTCCTTCCCATCGCATATAAAGTGCTATCCAGCGTACTGTGTCAACGACTGAAGCCAATGGTCCATGACATTATTGGACGATACCAATGTGGCTTCAGACCTGGCATATCCATCATTGACCAGATTATCACTCTGCGCCAAATCCTGGAAAAAAAACCCACGAAAAACACATCGACACATTTCACATATTCTTTGAATATAATGCCGCATTCGACAGCCCTATCCGTTCAGAGGTGTTTAAGGCCATGTCTGCGTTTGGCATTCCTGCAAAATTAATTCGCCTATTCAGGATAACTTTAACAGACACAAGATCAGCAGTTAAAGTCGGAAAGCACATCTCGGAGCCCTTTAATACCGAACGAGAATTAAGACAAGGTGACAGTTTGTCGTGTGACCTTTTTAACATCCTGCTGGAAAAGGTCATACGAGAGGCAAAGGTGAACAGAAATGGCACTCTGTTCACCAAACAACACATGTTACTCGCCTACGCCGATGACATCGATATAATGGGTCGAACATTGAGAGCGGTAACAGCCACCTTTGAACAAATTGAGAAGGAGTCTGCCAAAGTGGGGGTCTGGCAGTAAATGGCGAGAAGACCGAACTGTGGAACTTGAGAACTGCAGCTTCGAGGTAGTCAAAGATTTTATATACCTTGGTACGGCCATAAATAAAACGAATAACATCAGTTTTGAAATTCGGATAAGGATAGTGATGGTCAACCGATGCTACTATGGTCTGTTTAAGCAATTCAAAAACAAGGCCACCTCTCGCCAGACCAAACTCACACTCTACATGACGGCAGATTTACGGGCTAATCTGCGTCGACGACGTATATCGGCGTCGAATGAACCACGAGTTTTACCATATATACATGGACATCGACATAGTCAGGCGTATCGAGCTGAAGCGAACCGGTGGCTAGGCCATGTTTTCCAAAG